TGCCCAGCCCAGCGCCCAGCTCGTAAGATGGGCTCAGTAACTGAGTGAGTGAATTCATGAATATGGGGGTCCCTCCTTTCAACCTTTGGATGCTGCCTTCGTTTACCCTAATTGTAGGTGCGTGATCCCACTCCGCAATCACGTGGCTGGACCGTCTTCCTCAGGCCCTTCAGCACGCTGTCCGTAGTGGCCTTCTGCCTGTGTGTACGTCCTGTCTCAGACCTGGACTAAAGCTAAGACTGGGCCCCTGTGGCCCAGATCCTGGAAGAGGGCCTGGCACACGCTGAAGGGCTTCCCAAAACGCTGGATTACATGAGGGAAAGGCCAGCAGGCGGACAAGCCTGGCACGCAGAGGGCATCCGGCTGCGTGGCGTGCCTGCCAGTCCCGGGCGCGGGAACAGCGAGGGCGGGAGTCTCCGCGATTCTGCTCCCGCCACCCGGTGCAAACTTTCAAAAGATGCGGCGGCCGCGGCCCCGCCCCCGCCCCTCCCTGCGCGGTTGGCGGTGGAGGGAGGCGGGGGCGGAGCCCGCGGGCCTAGGCCGGTGGCTCCGCCTCTCCGGCCGCCGCCTCCTCCCTGCCGGCGCCCGCCCCAGCTGCCGCCCGCAGGCTCGCCCGTGCAGCCGCGATGCCCCACGGCCCGACCCCGGCCCGGGTCGCTGGCCCACTGGGTAATTAGCATTCGTGCGCCCTAAGCGCGCTGCCGCCAACGCCGCGCCCCGAAGCAGCGATGGGCAACACCGTGCACAGGTCCCTGCCAGGTACGCTGGGGAGCCCTGCCCGGGAGGCGGGCGTTGGGGTTCTCCTCTCCCTGGGGGACCCTCTCGGTGACTTCCGGAGAGCCACCCCTGCTTGGGGGCCCTCAGCGACCAGCGGGCTGGAGTCTACAATGCCTCTCGGACCCTGGATCCGCGTGCGCCCTGCGGCTGGGCTTTGCGCTCCGGGAGGGCGGGTACCGCGTCCTGGTTACCTTGGGGACCCCCGTTCTCGTTCTCCCGGCTTTGCCAAGAGGAACGAAGGGGCCTCTGGGGCGATGCTGGGCGCCCCCTTGCCTTTGTTCCAGCCTGAGGGCGCTGATGAGGAAGCTCGGGGCGCCCCCGGGATGGGGGGTGGGGGGACGGTTACTGGAGCGGTCTCCCAAGAGCTTCCGACGGCCAGAGCCGCCCTTGTGTGGAGACTGCAGCCGCTGAGAGTGGTGGGGGTGGGAGTGTGCTCTCAGGGGTACCCTAGTTTACCGCCGCCCGGCGCCCCCGCTGCACAGGCTGCCTCTGTTTGGCCAGGTTCCCACGCGCACCCCGGCTGCGCCCTCCTCTGGTGTCCGCTCAGCTAGGGACTCGAGCCCCTCGGAGTCACCGCTACAGAGCGCATCGCCCCCTAGTTAACACACCACCGCAGAACTGCCGGGGCCAGGGGAAGGGGATTCAAAGGGTGGGAGCTGGGAAGCGGTGGAGGCCGTACTACAATATACCGGATCATGACGGGAACGGATCGCCGTGCGAACGCTCTGGGCCCCGCATTCTGCGCACCCGGACACTTTCCACACCCCGGGCTTTGCATACCCTGGCGTCTTTGCAAAGGAGATATGCAAAGGAGCTTCATGGGAACGATGTGTATTCCGGTTTTACAAATGAAGAACTTGAGGCTTAGAGGAGGAAAAGTGACTCGCCCAAGGTCACACCACGAACGGGGGGGGGGGGGTGGGGAGTCCGGGGGAAGACCCCAGTCTGCGCGCCCGCCCTCTTCTCATCTCCCAAGTCCTTCAAATAAGGCTTTATTTGGGCTGAAGGCTGGGTGTTGGTGGCATCCTTTATGCAGAAGGGGACAGATGTGTGCGTTTAAAGTACAAAAGCAGCGCTCGGTGGGGAAGCCGGTCAGCTGTGGGTAAGTTCACTGAGACGCTTCAGGAGGAGAGGGGCACGCAGCCCCTCTCCGCTCCAACGCCCCCACAGAGCCCCACCGTATAAGCCTCTGGGCACCTTCAGGGCCACTCGCGCCTCCAAATTCTCAGAGAGGTGAAGTCACCAGCCAGTTAGTGGCAGAGTTGGGATTTGAACCCAGGTCCACTTCCCAGAGAGGGTGTCCTCCACCTCCTACTGACAGGGCTACGGCCCCCTGGGGGAGAACCCACCCACTTGGTCAGGAGGTGCCCCGGGGATGTTGGCAAATATGGCAGCATCTGCCAGCCAAAGAGACACCATGTGCAGGCGCGGGCCCCTTTTTAGAATTTCTTAATTAAGAAACGCTTACACTGTTCTAGTAAAAAAGCCATTCTGCCACCTGTGGGTCAGGTTTGTGTGGGTGGAAGCACAGACACCAGGTAAGCTAAATATAGCTGGAAATTTCTGTCGTCTCCATCCCCGTGGGCCTTGGCTCCGGCCCGGACCGCCCTGCGTGGGGAGCCTGGGGTTGGGTTGCGTACCCGCTGCAGGAGGCGAGGGTGGACAGTTCAGGCCCTGCACCGGGGCTGAAGCTTGCACTGGCGCTGAGGAAGGGGCCAGAGCTGGAATGTCTGAGCCGCGCTAGGTGGCAACCGCCAAGAATAGGAAAAGCTGTGCACTGTTTTGGGACCTGCCTCAGATTCCTTTCTCACACGCCCTGCCGTTTTTCACACCTCTGAGCTCAGTCTGCGCTGCCCCCCACACCTGGAATTTTCTTCCTTGTCTAGTCCGACTCTTCAAATCCAACTTAGTTGTCACCTCCTCCAGGAAGCCTTTCCTGACCACCCACCCCTGATCCCATCTTTTGCTCTGCAACCTAGGTCCCTTCTTAGGTCCCTGCTTGTTCATCTGACCGCAGCCCGTTGGGGCTGCCCACCTCCACCGCTCGCCTTGGGGCGGCGTGAGGACAGAGACTATGATCGTCTCGTACCCTCGCCGGTGGCCCAGCCCAGAGCCTGGTGCCGGGCAGGGACTCCAAACCCTGCCTCGAAGCCCCGTTGCCAGCATCTCGGGCTGAAAGGACCCTGGGCTCCGCGTCGCCCTGCAGAAATCCTTGTGTTTCGTTCCCAGGAGAAGGACGCACGCGTGGGGTTTCTTCCACGGGATGGAAATAGAGAGCTGGCATTTGCCGAGTACCTGGACTCCGTGCCAGGCCCGCTGCATATGTGGTTTCCTTTACACGCCAAGCACGCTCTCCTTCAGGCTCCTGCACTGGCCCAGCCCTCTGCCTGGAACCTTCTTCCCCGGCATGGCTGTCCCCCTCGCCTCCTCCAGGTCTCTGCTCCAGGGCGGGTCCTGCCATTGTCCCTGTCCCCAGTGCTCCCTCTCCCTCCTCCCTGCTTCTCGTTTCCCCTTCGCCTGCGTCCCCATGTGCCACGCTGTGTGTGTGGTTAGCTGTTTATTGTCTAAAGAGGGAGTGTTTTGTCTCTTTCTTTCACTGCTGTAGGGTCAGCACCTGCAGTGGCAGCTTGCACATAGTAGGTGCTCAGTAAAGATTTGTTGCGTGAATGAATGCATTTCATTCTTGCAACGGCCCTGCCAAGGAGGGATCGCCGTCTCCTCTGACAGATGAGGAGACCACAGCTTGCGTGGCTCATCCGGTTGACAGAACCCGATTGAAATCCAAGTTTGTTCGGCCCCAAAGTTCTGCGGTCCTCCTCCGCCGTGCAGTACCCTCCCGATCCATGGTTCCGATAACATGTACGGGCACCCCAAAGTCCGCTCAGCATGCTATTGTGTACAGTAAGGAGACGCCAAAGAAAGGGAACGTTCTTTATGACCGATAGTGGGGATGCCCCTTGGCAGCCCTGGCAGAGGGTGTCAGCAGTTCAGGTGAACGCCCTGTGAAGAGAATCGGGCAGGGCTCCGCGTGGAAGTCAGCACGTGCTAGGCTCCTGCTGTGTGCATGGCTCGCTCTCTTTCTAGCTGCCACCCGGCCCAGTAAGGTGCCAGCCCCATTTTACAGAGGAAGAGACTGAGGCACAGAGAGGTGGAGACACTTGCCCCAACTCGCACAGCCAGGCAGTGGCGAAGCTGGGCTTGGAAGGCCCAGGTCTGTCTTAATTGCTAAGACCACGTGAGCCTTCTCTCTGGACTCCACTGGCTTTCCTCTGCGTTTTGTAAGGAGGGGGAAAAAGTGTAAAGGCGAGCGGCTAGGAGAGGGTGGAATTCCTGCGGGGAGAAGTTTTCCCCCTTTTCCTTTTTCTTTCATTTCAGACCCTTTCCTCGGCTTGCCTCTGGGGCTCGCTGGGGCTCTGGCTGGAGAAGACGCTGGATTCAAACTCCCCGTTGGGTTGGTTAATCATTAAGTCGAGCCGTGCGCGGGCAAGCCAACCACCTCTTTAGTGCTGGTTCCATCGCTGGGCAACCTGGAGCTGTGCGGCGAGGGAGGTGTGTCGGCACTGCCCCGTGCCAGGTGCAGACTGTGCACTTTAAATGCTCACAACCACCCTCTCGAGGGGGTCTGTCTATCACCATTTTCCAGGGAGGCAGGTGGAGGCCCAGAGAGGCAAAGGACAGAGGCACTCTCTGGAGTCAGGGGGACCTGGTCTTCCTGATCTAGGTGGACAGCCTGCAAATGCTGTGTCCAGGACAGAAGCACCTGCGCCCGCCCCGGCCTCTCGGACGCTGCCCCCGTGGGCCTCCAGGAAAAGGAGAGCGTGGGTCCGGGGCCCGAGTGGGGCAGGTCTGCTGCTCCCTGGAGGGGAGGGCGATGCTCCGAGGGCCTGAGGGCCACCCTTTGCCCTGGATCTGGACTTTCTCGTCCCTTAGGAGAGCAGAGGCCTTTGTCACTCTCTTACAGCCATCTCAGTGGCTGTGTGGCCGGTGCACCCAGGGTCACTCTCCTCTCTCCACACCTCCCTTCCTCCTCTACCCTGTCACAACGCGAAGCTCAGCTGGGCTTGCCTGTCTTATCCTGCCCGGCTGCCCTCCCCCCCACCCAGCTGGGCAGGAGGCCCGAGCGGAGCCTCTGGAAGTGATAGGGCTCCCCCCGGCCGCCCTGAAGCCCGCAACGCTGTCAACACCTTGTCAGGGGCTCGCTGAGTCAGGGCCCCGGGGGACAGCCGTGAGGATGCTGGGACGGGACGGGAGCTAGAAGGGGGAGCGGTCCTGCCCATCGGGGAAGAAGGAATGGGTCTGTCAGTGCGTGGGACAGGTGACAAAGGTGCACGAGGAGAGTCTGGAACCAGCAGGGACAACGTCCGTCCTCTGTGCCTCTTCCTGCTCCCCGCTCTGCTCCCTTCACTCTTCCTCTCCCCTGGCAGGAAAGGAGGAAGCTCTGGGGCCATGGCAGGAGGGGAAGGCTTCCTGGAGGAGGTGGTATCCGAAGTCAAGTTCAATTGGATGTGTGCCTCGCCCCTCGAAGGTCATCTTTTTCTGTCTGCCTTTGGGGTCTTCTGTGGTCACCCTAAGGTCACCCTGATCTCCACTTCAGTGCCACATGCCCGGGCTGGGGTGGCCCTGCATTTTTCCGAGTGTGCCCCTTCATTCTTTTAGCTGACAGCCGTGGGCACTTGTCGTGTGCCAGGCACAGGAGGGCCAGCCGTGAATGAGACCACCAGCCACAGGCGGTGCTCGTGGAACTGGCCGCGGTGGGAGGGGAAGAGAATGCCCTAGTACAGCAGGACCGGCGGCTGACTAGGTCGCCGGAGGGCACAGGCGCCACTGCCCTGCCCCTCGGAGGGGGCGGGGGCGGTGTCCAATGCCCCAGCAAGGCCTGGCCGCCAGACCAAGTGATCCATCTACCATGGGTCATGTGCACAACCAGCTACTAAAAAAACTGTGATGCTGTAGACTAGAGTAAAAAATGAAATACTGAAGGCACCCCTGTAGTGAGAGCACTTTTGCTTCTCGCACTTTTGTTGCAGGTGGGTGTTGCGTGCGTGCTGCAATGTGAAATGCGGCTTCTCTCCGTGGGTCGCAGTGAGGAGGGGTTGTGAGGAGGCCGCTCGAGGGCCAGCAGCAGCCGGAGGTCAGGTGCCCCGGTCTAGAACGAGGGTTTGGAGTCAGGCTGCCTGGGTTCAAATCTCAGCTCAGCCATTCCGCAGTGCAGTCACTTTGGCCGAGGTACTTCCTGCCGTGCCTCAGTTTCCCTGCTGTGAAATGGGGAGCAGGGGGAGGCTCCCCCGTGGGTGGCGGTGGTGAGAATGAACTGGAATGGGGCAGGCAGTCTTCAGCACAGTGCCCGGGGCACTGGCTGTCCCCACAGGCAGGAGAGGCCTGCCCCCCGGGGGCCTGGACGGGCCTGGCTGACAGGAGCCCTCACTTCCTGCCTTCAAAGCCCCAGTGACCAGGAACCCTTGGCCAAGGGCTAGGCTGCAGGGGGTGTCCCTTCCATGCGAGCTGACAGCAGCCACCAAGGGATGCTTGAGCTCTTTCCGAGACACCTGATGTCTGATGAGGAGAATCTTCTTGACAGGTTGAATTTTCCGGTTTTATTTTGTCCACCAGACTTCCAGGCCTGGCTCTGTGCTGGTCCCGGGGTCACCGCCTGGGTGGAGGGACTCAAGATCTAGTGGGAGAGACCTCAAGGACAGGCAGCTACAGCAGTAACTGGGAGAGGGGGAACCCAGGGCGGTCATGAGAGCCTGGGGAATGCAGGAAGGCTTCCTGGAGGAGGTGCTGTCCGGCTGCGACCAGAAAGCAGAGAAGTTAGCCAAGAGAAGGGACCAGGAATGGCTGTTCAAGGCAGAGATGCAAGACGTGTGACGGCCTGAAGGGAGAGAGAGCACGCCATATGTGGGGAGCCGTGGCATTCTGGGGGTCTCAGTACAAGTGGGGGTGGTGTGTGGGGTCAGAGGCCGGGTCAGGGCATGAGGCGGGGTGTCTTGCAGGCCAGCGGCCACAGTCCCTGCCTGCATGACATGCCGCATGCATTTGCCAGCAGGGACGTAGCCCTGGCGCGGGGCTGGGCCTCGAGGACCGCTCACGACAGGCTGTGTGATCTTCCCCAGGGGCAAGGAGTCAGCTCTGCCCTCTTTTGGACCAAAGGCTTTCTGTACTTAGAGACACTCTGTGCCGGCTTAAAATAGAAGCCCAGAGGCAGGTGTGTGCTCGAGTGGGGAGCAGAGGGGAGAAAGGGGGCGGGCCTGGTGCAGCCCTGCAGGTGGGCAGCGCCCGCCGGGCACAGGGGGGCAAGTGGTCAAACCTCCGCACGCCCGCCCCACGCCAGACCCTGCGTCTGGGTCGTCCCGTCTAAGCCATCGAGACCAGCCTTCCAGAAGTAGCCTCCCATTTCACAGACGAGGAGACTGAGCTCAGGGCGGCAAGGAGAGCTGCCTTGGGTCAGGCGGCCAGGAAGCGGCCGAGCAGAATCTGACCCCAGGCCTGCGGGGCTCCGGGCTCCATCGCCAGGGGGCGCTGCCCCTCCCTCCCTCCCTCGGGAGTCCTGCCCGCCTCAGGCAGTGGGTTCACAGGTGCATCTTTCTGTCTTCTCTGTCCTGGGAAAGGGAATGACTTCCATCCACAGCAGCCAGAGTGAAGCTGCTCTGGCGAAAAAGTCGGTCCCCCACCCCACCTCACCCCAGCGCCCCCCCCAAATCTGTAGTTCAGAAGGTGGAGGAGGCCCTGGGAATCCCACCCTGGAGAGAGGACGACCCCTTCCTCCTGCCCAGCAAGGGCTCAGCCTCCTGACCCGCCTGCCTGGTGGAAGCTGACCCGAGGCCGGCCACCCACACTCGCCGTGGCCAGGTGTGGCCAGGTGTCACACCCGGCACATCCACACCCATCCCCCTGAGCGCGGAGGTCCTCCCACCCAGAGCCCCCGGCAGTGCCCACCGGTCAGTCGGCGTGGGCAGCAGGCCGGGGGAGAGCCGCTGGCGCCCCGCACGTGCTGCCCACCCCCCGCCCCGCGCTGTCCTTGTCAGCAGAGCTGGTGACAGCGCGGGCTGAGCTCCTGGATCCCCCCTGGGTCGGCGTCTCGGCCCTGCCCCCTCGTTAGCCAGATAAGCTGCCGGACCCAGCTCTCGGCTTTGGTTCCCTCTTCGGCAGAGCGGGGACAGTGACGCGGCCTCTGAGGCAGCGCAGAGTCTGGCACAGTGAACGCTCCCCCGGGGCACCTGCTGGGACTGTGCGTTCACTGGGCGAGCAAGCCCCCCGCCCCTGAGGAGCCCCGGGCCCCGGGGGAGACACGCACCAGAGAAGCGTGGTAAGCGCTGAGCTGTACCGTGCGGCCAGTCTGCGCCGGGCGCTGGTCCCAGCGGGTCCCCGCAAGTAACGCTCGGGACGAGCCCGGTGAGACAGCTTCAGTTATTAGTCCTGTTATTACATTGCCAGAGCAGAGAGAGGGGCACAGAGAGGGAAAGCCACTTCCCCAGGGCACACAGCTCGGGCAGTCCGCTGGACGGAAGGGGTGTCGGTGTGGGGTGGACACTGACCGGGGTGACCAGGGGGGCTGGGGGGGGGCGGGGGTCAGACTGGGGGCATTGCATGTTTGCCCTGGAAGCGTTCACCGTCTTGAGCAGGGATCTGTAAGCACTTGGAAATCCTGGAGACTTGTTTCTAGTTGCTCACCTACTTTTGTACGTTGTGTCGCACGCCACCTCTAGGCAGGGCAGGGCAGGGCGGGGCCAGTCTCCAGGCGGCTGTGGGGACCCTGGCGGGCATCCCCCAAGGTCTGGTGTGTTGATCTCCCACCACCTTTCCAAGCCAGTTGGTTGCTGTTCTGAGGTCTTTCTGGACAGCAGAGCGAGGGCCTTGTCATCCCCAGGGGAGTGACAAATCCCCAGAGGCCTGGCCTGGGGACCCCCGGAGCCGAGGGTGGCCTGCCGCTCCCGGAGGCCAGCCAACCGACTTGATGGGGACCGGCACTGGGGACCGAGGGCAGGCGTGACCAGTGTGTGGGCATGCCGTGGAGGCAAATTTCAGCTTAGTCAAAGCGAGAACTTTCTAACTGTGGGCGCTGTCGGGAGGGGAAAGAGGGCAGGGGGCGGGTGCACCCTCGGCCGGGGCCCCCCTGGTGTCCAGCCCAGCTGGGGCCGGATGTGGACACCGCAGAGGCAACGCGAGCGTCGGGTGGACCGGGGATGCGCTGCCCGGGAAGGTGCCTTTGACCCTGGGGTTCACAAGGAGTGCTGTTCAGCGCTCACCTGCTGGGCACCTGCAGGGCCCTTCACGCTCTTGCTTACGTAACCCTCCTGCCAGCTCTGCGTGATGGGAGGCTTCAGCCCCACGGTTAGAGATCAAGAGACTCCGGCACAGAAGACGAAGCCACCTGCCCAGGCCTGTTCCCACCCCCCCCCAACCCCCCAGCCTCAGCGACAGGTGTTTCTGTGTGGGGTTTAGGACAGCCGGCCATCCTTGGGGGGCAGTCCCAGCTCACCCTCCTCCCTTCACCCTTATAACTGGACTCGGCGCGGCGCAGCCTCACCTCTGGGCATTGCAGGGCGGGGCGGGGGGGGAGTTCTTTAATGAGTAAGCCATTTGGGGGAAATGGTAGGGTGGGGGTGTCAGGCGCTCCAAACTGGCAGAACGCCCATCACTATTAACAAGTGTGTTTTGTTTACATCCTCAACATCACACATTGTTTATACCACAATTATATCCCCCGGGCGTGCGTTTTTTTTCCTCTTCCCCCAAGGACGATGGATTTATGAGGTGGGTGGGCACACACATACTCTGTGTCTCGGGAGCCTGTGCGGCTGGGTAACTTTCCACTGCAGAGGACAGTGGTCCTCTTCTCCAAGGCCCGGGCCGTTCTGGGGCAGGAAATGGGAGCATGGGGTCCCCACATCCCTGGAGATGGCGCGGACCCTCCTCCCTGCATGCAGGCCACCCGGGGCTCCGCTCCCGGGCCCAGGGAGGGTGCAGACTCACCACGCCCCACCTCCCGCTCTCTGGATCGGGACTCTGAGGACCAGAGCTGTCCGCGGGGCCACATGGCGATGACAGAGGGCGTCTCTGGCTGGCATCCCGAGAGAGGCGGCTAGAAAAGGGGCCCTGCTGTGGCAGCGGTCTCGATTGCTGATCTCAGACCCGTGTCTCTGCCATGGGAGCCTGGGAGCCTGGGCAAGTCTCTTCCCCTCTCTGGGCCTCCGTCGGTTGCCTCATCTCAGGATGGGGATGGTGACACTCCCTCCCCCCTGGGGCTGTGATGAGGACGACATGGGCGGCTCCACGAGAAGTCACAGCCCAGCACGAGGCAGGGAGTCCGTTCGTGGCCCCGGAAGGCTAGACACCTGTGCCCCCGACACGGGTGTGAGGCGGGGACTGCCCGGCCCAGGCACTCCTGCCGGGCGGTTGAGTGGTCCCGCCTCTCCAGGCCCCGGGGCAGGTTACCAAAGCGCCCGCTGGCTGGCTGGCCACTCCACACTCAGGACCCCTCACTGCACCTCGCTTCACTTTATCGTGGTGGTCCGGACCTGAGCTGCAGGAGGTCCGACGCGTGCCTGTAGGGGGCGAGAGCCCGCATGGGCATTGGCTGCGGATCTGGGTTGAATCTGACCCAGCTGGTGACCTGCATGGAGGCCTTGGACCAGCCCCTCCCCCTCATCGGTGCTGAGGGTCCACAGGGCTACCATCTCTCGGGTCACCAGAGCTTAGGCGATGCACATGGAGATGCTGGTCAGGCGCCAGAGCTTGCATTTCCAACTCACGTCCTTCCCCGCCCTAGGTGAGGGGGCCGGGGTCTGTGCAGACTCCCTGCAGGCCTCCTGGGCCCACACCCATGGGCTCCCGTGAGCCCTCGGGCATCTGGAGGAAGGCCAGCACGGCGGAGCGGGGGGGACAGAAAAGAGGAAGCTGGATCTGCAGCGAAGGAAGCGCAGGGGACGAGGCAGCCCCAGAGTCACTTCTTTTCTCGGTGGTGGGGCCGAGAGCCAGATGTGGCAGGGGAGAGATGGGCGCTAGCTGAGGACCTACTGTGTGCCGGGCGCTGTGCTCCCCTTGTTCCCTGCGGGGGTAATTTCTCCGCTTTGCCCTCGAGGCAGCCGTGGCCTGTTCTGCCTCACTGTGGGAGCTGGGCTGACATGAGTTCAAATGCTCCAGCTCCAGCACGTCTAGGCTGCGTGGCCTGGGGCAGCTCCCCTAACCTCTCTGAGCCTCCCTGCCTGCCTCACCAGCAGCGGGTCTGCGGGAGGAGCACAGGAGGGGTGGTGCGTGGGGGCCAGCTGCAGCCTCTGCCTCACCCCCGCCCCCCGGGAGAGCTGCCTCTCAGACCAGGCCCCACGCCCAGTCTCAGCCCTTTTTCAGACCCCGGGGACATCAGGCCCTTAGGCTCCATTCCCCCGCCCCCGTCATCAGTCACCCACTTTCCTTTTTTAGACGCTTTGTTTATTGTTCGTCCCAAGTTCCTCCGAACCAAGGCCTCTGAGCAGCTCCAAACAAGCTGATTGACGACATCCCCCAACCCCCCTGCCCTTCCCTGAGCCCCGGCCAGGGCCCGGCACGCCCCCTCGGCCAGAAGGTGGCTGGTGCTACTTGTACGCTGTCTTGGCTCTTTCCCGTGCAGGCAGGGGGCGCGTGAGGGGCCTTGGGGAGGGGTAGGTATAAAAAAGGAAGGACACAGCCTTGGGGACCAAGAGGCGGGGCCAGACTCAAACAGGCGCCGCCTTCCCAGGCCGGGCAGCCTCCGATGAGAATCCCCGCCTCCCTGGGCCTCGGTTTCCTCGTCTGGAAGCCACCCAGCAGGAGTGGCGATGAGTGCACGGGCTGCGTGGGGGGCACCTGGCACACGCGGGGCGGGGGGTGCCACAGGGGTGGGCTGGCCGCCCCGCGGGGCCTGGGGCCTGGGAAACACTCCCTCCGCCCCAGCAGTGAGAACTGGGGTGTTTGAGGGTGTTTTCCCCTGCGCCTGTGCTGCTTCGGACACTGGAAAGCAGGGGCGGTGGGCCTAGGGTTCCAAAAAGTCAGGATGGGGGTGGGGGAGGGCGCCCTGTGGGTGCTCCCCTGGGGCTGAGGTGAGCGAGCAGCCGGCCTTCTGCTGGGCAGCACCTGGCTGGGGGAGTGGCTGCCCTCCTGGCAAAGAGAAGGAGAAAGCTGGCAGCCTGGGCCCCTTATCAGCAGGCAGGTGCCTGAGCCGCCTGGGGGAGAAAGGCTGGCGGTGGGGGAGGGGGGCAGCCGTTGGAAGCAACATTTAAAACCCGGGCTGCTGTTCTCACTCCCACTGTGCCCGGTCATCCTGAAGGGTAGGGGAGAGTGGGAGGGACAGTTTCTGCGGGGACACCCAGGGCTGGGATCTCAGCCTCAGAGAGGCGGATCCTCGAGGGTCCCTTCCCTGCTCCAAACAGTGCAGTGACCCCCAGAGCCGGCCTGAGGACCCCAACCTCCTCTGCATGGCCTCTAAGGCCCTTTGTGACGCAGCCCCTGTACCCCCTCCAGCCTCCCCCCTCCCTCTGCCCTGAATCCCTTGCAGTTCCCCAGGGGCCTTCAGCTGGCCCTCCCCTTGACCTGTGCTGCTCCCTCGGCCCGAAACACACCTTTCCTTCATTTCCCATCCTCCCGGCCCTTTGTCCTCTGTCTGCACAGTAGCTTCTCTGAGAAGCGTCCCCTTGGCTGGGGGACCACCCTGTGCCGGCATGGTGTCTGTACTGTCCCCCTGCTCTGGGTGGCGGGGGGCGGGGGGCGGGCAGGGACTGTGTGCAATTCATCAGGACCCGTGTCCCTGCAGCCGGCCAGCACAGGCCCTGGCGTGGAGGGGATGTTCCGTGGACGCCAGCTGAAGGAGGCAGTGATGTACTCGAGAAAGAATGAGGGCACATTCCCACCCCTACCTCCCACCCTTGGTGGGGCCCCCAGCCTTAGGAGCTGGCGCCTCTGAGGATGGAGTTTCCTGGACCTGTTTATCAGGAGACCTCGGCTGAGGGGCCCAGCAGGGGGTCTGGACAGGCCCGGGGATCCCGGTGCCACTCAGCGCGCTTCGAGGGGGCGCTGGGATGACCTCACCCCCCGGGCACTCGGCATGCCCAGCCCACTTGAGCAAAGAGGGCTGCCGCCCCGGCCTGGAAGGAGCCGGCTTTCCTCCCAACAAGTGGTGTTGTGTGACCTCTGGCCTCTCGCCAGGCCTCCTTGTAGCTGGTGACAGGAGTGTCACTGGCTGCACTGAGGTGACCCGATATTGTTTGCAAAGAAACGGGGAGGAGAGCGGGGTGGTGGCGGTTTCCAGCGCGGGCTGGCCCCTCTCCATTCCGGGTGCTGGTGGAGCAGGCCTCTGCAACAGAGAACAAAGTCCATTAAGCTGGCGTCTGTCCCCTGGACGCATGTCGCTGTCCCACTTGGCAGAGGTTGGAGAGCGTCAGTTGCTGTTTTTCTAGCCCACTTTCAAACCGGCCAATGGAAGAGGTGCTCTCTGGTGCCGGAGGAGACTGCAGCCTGGCCCTGCCGGCCTTGCCTCTTCTCCCTAATGCGCACGCCACCACACACATGCACTGTGTGGCTTCATACCGCCTACAGTGTCGGTCTGAACTGTGGACTCGGGCACATGTGGCTTGAATCCAAGACTTCTCACTTGGGGTCCACGGTCTGCAGGTGGGCATTAGGTGGGCCCAGGAGGCCCACGTCAAATGGTGTGCATGGAGTGCAGGTATGTTTTGGAGAAAGAGAGCTTTTTTCAAGGCCCGGCCCCGGGCCCCCGGCCCCCAGGGGCTACAGGGCTGCCTTGGAGAAGGGGTGGGTGTGGGGCATCGGCCCGAGCCGGCCCTCCTGCCACTGCCCCGAGTTGCTGCCTCTCAGAGCCTCAGTTTCCTCACCTGGGAAACGCAGGGGGTGAAGCTGACCGCGTGGGGTGGTGCTGAAGCCCAAACCCCACAAGGGAGGCCCGGGGCTGGTGCGCGGCGAGGAGGGCTCCGTTGAAGGCTGGTTGTGAGAGGAGCGCCCCTCCCTCCCTGCGGTCAGAGTCTGCCGGACATCTCAGCCGGATCGCCATCTGCTGAGTGCCAGTGCGCTGGCAGCTGCCATCCCGGCGGCCGGAGGAGCCGGAGCCGTGGCTTTCTGCCGTCACCCTGGCGGCCACCGCCATTTCCTCGGGCTCTTTTTAGAGCAAAGGGGAGGCCGGGCTGGGGCATTGAGCGAGCTTTATTCGGCGGGGAGTCGGGGCCGGGGTACAGTGCACACTGGAGACACTGCTGGGAAGGCTCGAAAATAGGCCTCCGTCTTCGGACACCAAGGGAGAGAAACCCCAGGGTTTTCCAGGGGCCCTTCCTGGCCAAGGCCGCCGGCCCTGCACTGGAGAAACGTTTCAGAATGCGTTCACCGAACCCACAAGCAGATATCCCCGACCCGGGAATAAACCTCTTCTCTAATAAGGTGATTTTAAAAAGCGACCAAGTGTTTAGTGAACACCTACTATGTGCCACACACCGAGTGCCTGACGGGCTTGCCTCCTTCGTCCTCGGCGATCTCGCCGCGTGCAGGTGGCTCTCACCGGTCGTCTGGGTCTAGCCGGGGCGGGGTTGCGGGGGTGGGGGGGACCCAGAGAAGGGGAGCGGGCTGACGTTCAGGTTCCCCGCCGACGTCTCCAAACTAGGATGTTCTCCGGGGGCCCGTGTTTCTGTTCCTTCTAGAAGCCACTTCCCCAGAGCCGAGCTGAAAGCAGATATTCATGTACCAGTTGGAGGTTGCTTATTCTTTCATTTTCAGCATTTTCAATCCGTGTAAATAACACATCTTCTTAGAGACTTTTTTTTTCACTCTGGTTTTCTTTAACTCGCATCAGGGCTCTGGGCCTCCGAGGGGGGGGAGAAAATCGTGTTTATCCCTCCTTCCCTGAAGGAAGTTGGGTCATATAATCAAGATTAAACAAATATGTAAACTTCGCTGGTTACTTGGCTGCGTGTCATCCTAACATATAGTGGGTTTCGCAGGAAACTTCCCCTTATAGTAACAGAGCGGCACTTCTCCCCACCCCAGCGCCCGTTCGGATCACGAGGCCGCTGGGCAGGAGCATCTGCTTAGAATTCCCGAGCCGCTTGGTGTAGAAACTCTCCGATGGAGAGATAAGGTTGGGAAAGCAACAGCCACCACGGGGCAGCTCAAAATAATCACATAAGGGTGGCTTGTGGTCTCTGGCGCTCAGGAGGGCTTTGATCCGTGGTCATATTTAATGTTTCCTGGAGAGTCGGCCAGCGCTGGGGACCTTGGAGAGACTCCGGCCGGCTGGACACCAGAAGCTGGTGGCTTGGACAGGACACGGCATGCGTGTGTGTGTGTGTGTGTGTGTGTGTGTGCGTGCAGGCAGAACATCGGCTCTGCAACCCTTGGGCTGCCTTTCCAGGGCATTTTCACGTATCCCCACCCGCCTGAGTTATGCGCTAATGAAATAGCTCTCCCGTGGGCCTTTGCTCCTCTTACCTTCCGGGAGAGGGCCACAGCCCGGCTCTGTGTGCCCACTCCTTGCTGCCTCTCGGCCCCTCCCTGGCAGGCAGTGCTGGCCTGCCCACTGGAAGCCCTCCATGGCTCCCTGACCCCTACGCTGTGCAAGCTGTGCCTCTCGGGCTGGCATTCGGGGCCTTCTTGTCTGGTCCCGGTGGTGTCCATGGCAACCTCGCCCCCTACCTATTCAGGGCAGTGGCTGCCCAACCTCCGACACCCTCTGCCACACCTCCCCTAGTACCTGCCCACCCCACAAAGTCCCGCTTCCCCCTCCTGCCCCTCGTGTCCCCTCAGCCTGGGACATTCCCTCCTCCCCTCCCTCGAGACCCGGCTCTGTGGGCGCCACCCTCTGTCCCCAGCCCCTGGTGGAGTCCGGGGCCTCCTCTGGGCCCTGTGGTCACCCCTGCACACGGCGGTCTGGAATGGCAGCAGCACCGAGTAGGCCCCTTATCCGTCTCGGTGGCTGCTGTGTTTCCCGTGCGTGGACTGGGTGCTCACTCAACGTTTGACAAATGGATGGATGACTCGCGTCCCTTAAGTTCCTTTTCTTACGTGAGGCCTTGGCTTTACTCCTTGTGTTTTGTCTCCTGTGGGCCAGGGTCTTCTGCTGGGAGAGAGGCCCCTGGGCTTCTCAGCGCCGCCCCCTCCCGCAGCGCCTGGGGCCCTCCCCTGGGCCCGGGGAGGGGGAGCCTTGGGGCACTTGCCCTGTCATTGCCTCTCCCTCTTGCTTTTCCCCCGTCCTCGCTCCCAGGAGCCTCAGTATTAACTGACCCCCCCCCAAATATGCGCAGAGCACAGTGACCCCCGGGCCGGGCATGGGAGGAGTGGTCCCTGCAGTGGCCTGTCCTTCCCTGGGGCGCATTCTTCTCCCACGGGTGACACACGCTCCCAGTGTGTGCCAGGGGTGGCCTGTGATTAACGAGCACTTGCCGTGAAAACATTGTGAACAAGCAGCAGAGATTCGGGCGGTAATGACCCACCCTCCCCCGCTCCCCGGCTGTGGAGCCCCCCTAGGGACTGCCCCTGGGGCAGAGGAGGGAAGGTGGGAGGGATGACGCGTTTGTCTCAGTCCCAGGCAACCAGGGTTCAAGGCCAGCAGCAGCCAGATCCTTCAAAAGAGACCATCCCAAGGTTCTCTAGGTCCTCTGGGGCAGAGTTCTCCTGGAAACGAACCCTGAACGGTGCGTGTTCCAGCAGAGCCACCTCGCTTATAAAGAATGCCTTCACTGTCTGTGGGTGAAGGGGATTGGAAGTCACCGGATTCCGGCGTGGGTCTCCTCGGAACCTCTGTATCAGGGCACTGTTCGTTGCCTAATAAGCACATACTTTGTGCCAGGAAACATTCTAGAAACTTCACCCACCTGATCTTTCAGCAGCTGTGAGTTCAGTGATGGCCCCATTCCACAGGCAAGGAGACAGGCTGGGGGAGGGCCAGGAAGGACGGGAGAGCGGGGCCCCCAGGGCCGCACTGGGTCACCTTCCCTTCTATCGCCAGGGGGTCCCGAGGCCGCATTCTTTCTGTTGCTTTTCCTGCCTTGCTCTTGAACAAAACTCACGCAGAGAAAAGCAGCCAAAGACCCCTTACTCCTCCCCAAGAGTCCAAGGCCCCTGTGGCCTTTGGCCTGACTCTGTAACCCGCAAGTGTCCCTTGGAGGAAGATTTGGAAAGATGTCGTGGGAACAGGAAGTCAGGTGACCCCGGCCTGTCTGCTGTGGGACAGGCCCATGGGCGCTGGTCCGTCCGGGAGTGAAACAGCCCTGGACAGGGCTGCGCGCACGCAGCCTCCACTTGCTCATCTGTGAAGTGGGCACAGGGACTTTGCTGTGGTAGGACTGGGCTGATTGGGGTGGCTGGAACCTTCTCAAGTTTATCAACTGCTGGTCTAATTAAGACGGAAGGTTAAACGGAGATGATTATTAAAAGGCGACTAGGGGCCGCACAGTTCCGAGGGGCCCTAACCCTCCTGCCTGTCTCTCCCCGCAGACTCGAGCCCCCCAGCGCGCCTTCTGGCGACCCGGCAGTGCTGCGGGCCCGGCTTCGAGCGGCGCCCCGTCCTGGGCGAAGCCCCGCGCTTCCACGCACAGGCCAAGGGCAAGAACGTGCGGCTGGACGGCCACTCGCGCCGGGCCACGCGGCGCAACAGCTTCTGCAACGGGGTCACGTTCACGCAGCGGCCCATCCGGTTGTACGAACAGGTGCGGCTGCGCCTGGTGGCTGTGCGCCCGGGCTGGAGCGGCGCGCTGCGCTTCGGCTTCACGGTGCACGACCCGTCGCTCATGAGCCCCCAGGACATCCCCAAGTACGCCTGCCCCGACCTCGTCACGCGGCCCGGCTACTGGGCCAAGGCCCTGCCTGAGAACCTGGCGCTGCGCGACACCGTGCTGGCCTACTGGGTGGACCGCCACGGCCGCGTCTTCTACAGCGTCAACGACGGCGAGCCCGTGCTCTTCCACTGCGGCGTGGCCGTGGGCGGCCCGCTCTGGGCGCTCATCGACGTTTACGGCATCACCGACGAGGTGCAGCTCCTCGGTAGGTCAGGCCGCGGGGTCCCTGCAGCGAGGGGGCGGGGCGCCGCTTGCTCCCGCCCAGGCCACGGCTCTCTGCCCGCCCGGATGTGTATTTCTCGAACGCAGCGCTGCGGGCTCACTTCGCCATGCACAGTTATAAGCAACTGACATATTTAACACTTATTTCTCAGGACACCTGGCCGTCCCTCTTACACAGCTGAGAAAACTGGGGCACAGAGAGGTTCAATGACTTGACTTGGAAAGCCCAGTGGGTCCGGAGTCTGTGGTCTGGCCCGGGCTCCCCCGCTCGCCCCTGCGCTCAGCTGTTTGCTCGTTCACTCGCTGAGGCCTGCATCCGTTCCCTCGCTCCTCCCTCCTCTCCGCTGCCCACATGCTCCCTTCTTCCCTCATTCACACGTTTTTATTCATTCCCTCCTTCATTCCTTCACTCGCACATCCACTCCCTCCCTCCCTCAGCAACCAGATGTATGCCCCAGTCCTCCAGTATCCACGGTCAGGCAGTGAGAAATGAGCGCACTTCTAGGTGGCGCAAGGTCCTTGGGGGGCGGGGGCGGGGGCGGGGGCGGGGCAGGGGGCAGACTAGTGCGGCGCTGGCTCGGGCGGAGGCGGCGGTGACTAAGGCTGCTTCCTGGTGGTGAGAACCGGGGCGGGTGGAAGTGGGCCTCCCTCATCGAGAGGGAGACACACAGATTTTTGCAGATGGAGTGGCACGTCTGGGGTGTGCTTCAGAATAATAACGCAGGAGGGAGAGGTGGCGGAGGTGCCGCTGAAACAAGACTGGCCGTGAATTGGTCATTGTGAACCTGGGTGGTCAGTGTTCGTTGTACTCGCTGGAGAGGTCAGCTTTTCAGAAACTAGAGCAAAAAAAAAATAATAATAATAATTGATAAAACACCAGGAGGCCAACCAGACTGGTCTGTGAGCCGGTCCGAACTCGGACGGCCGCCCTGCAGCCTCCGCCCTGTAGGGGGCGGTAGGAGTGTGGGGTACCATACCAGACAGACGCTCACCGGGGCTGGGCCAGGCTTTCTGAGAACGCATGTCCGTGAACTTGGCTTCCTTTTATATTGGACAAACTAAAAAGGAAGAAGTATTTTATTCCATGATATCAGTTACGGAATGGATTATAGAATGGTAACGTTTAACAAAATCCGAGCTCCAGGGATTTGGTTTTACAGTTTGAGGAACAGGTTTTCTTGCTTTGTTTACTTAGAGCTAATAAGAATATTTTAATCACTTAAAAAAAACTTTATAATACTTTAATGACTTTCTTTCTTTCCGATGGGATGGACCTTATCCATGCAATAAACTACATGGTAATGAGGGCTGTTTACCAAGTACAGGGCAGAGCCCCGAGAATGCTCTGCTGAGAGACCCGCCCAGACTCCACCCTCCAGGGACTCACGTTCCAGCCAGGGAGACCAGCAGTCATTGCTCTACCAAAGTCTAAGGGCCTCTACGACCTGAAGGATAAATACTGTTAATTTGCCTTTTTACTTCACTGTAACAGGTAGTCTCAAGAACATGTTTTCATATCGCTAAAAATGGCGCAAAAATATTTTCACGGCTGTGGCTTTTAAGAAACTCTCCCTTAGGGCCCTGGTTGGTGCGGCCCAGTGGATTGAGCAATGGCCTGAGAACCGAAGGGTCGCAGGTTCAATTCCCAGTCAGGGCACATGCCTGGGTTGCGGGCCAGGTCCCTGGTAGGAGGCATGCAAGAGGCAACCACACATTGATGTTTCTCTCCCTCTCTTTCTTCCTCCCATCCCCTCTCTCTAAAAAGAAATAAATAAAATCTTAAAAAAGAAAAAAAAAGAGCCCTGGCTGGCATAGTTCAGTGGATTGAGCTCGGGCTGCGAACCAGGCATTGTAGGTTCGATTCCCAGTCAGGGCACATGCCTAGGTTGCAGGCCACGGCCCCCAGCAACTGCACATTGATGTTCCCCTCCCTCTTTCTCTCTCTCCTTCCCTTTCTTCTCTAAAAATAAATAAATGAAATCTTTAAAAAATGCTTTAAAAAAAAGAAAGAAAGAAACTCCCCCTTAGTTTCTCGTTTTTAGAGGGAGTCCACCCCTTACAGGAACCTTCTGTGTTCAGGGTTTGAGCATGACCCAGGCGCTGTGCTCCAGGCTGCCACTGTTCAGAGTCAGCCTGTGTGGGAGAGCCGGCTCTCTGGGGCCAGGAGCCACTACACAGCCGCGGTTCTTGGCCTGGCTTTGCCACTTGGCGGCCGTGTGACCCTGGTCCCAGTCTTGGACCCCTCTGTGCCTCAACTCCCTTCTTCGCTCGATGGCGAGAAATAACAGGACACACCTTGCGGGCTGTGTGAGGATGAAAGGAGCGAACTCCTGCTTCAGATAGCGCCCGTCACCGTATAAGGCTGCAGATACAGGGCAAAAAGGGGGGCCCTCTTTTTCCTGGAGCTTGTGTTCCAGCTGGGGAAACAGACCATAAAGAGTTTTCGAGTGCCCTTTCAACCTTCAAAAGTATGGGAACCTCTGAGGGAGGAGAGGAGGAAGAAAGAAAGGAGGGAAGACAGGAGGGAGAAAAAAGGAGGGAAGAAAAGGTGGAGGGGGGAGAAAAAAAGGTGCAGGAGAAGAGGGGTGAAGAGAAGGGAGGGAGGGAGGGAGGGCCTTAGCTGCCCACTCCAAAGGTAAGAATGTGTAAAGAAACTAAGGGTCATGCTGAATCCGATTCTGTACAACCCTGACTCTTAAATCAATTCACAAACAAACCAGAGAAAGAACGGAGCGGGGAGGGTGGTGAGGACGGAGCCTGCTGACGGGCAGCCAGGCAGGGGGCTCAGGGGGCCGGGCGCTCTGGTGGCTGGGCCCATGTGCTCACCTGGCCTTCCTCTGTCCCGGCACAGAGAGCACCTTCGCCGACACGCTGCCACCTGCGCGCATCAGCCAGGCCCGCTTCAGCGCCTGCCCGCCGCCCGGCAGCCTGGACGCCGCCAACTTCGACAACAACGAGCTGGAGAACAACCAGGTGGTGGCCAAGCTGGGCCACCTGGCACTGGCCCGCGCTCCGGGCCCCCCACCCGCCGACAGCGCGGTCTCCGCCATCCCGTGCGGGCCCCGCGAGCGCCCGCGCCCCGCGTCGTCGCCGGCGCTGCTCGAGGCCGACCTGCGCTTCCACGCGATGCGCGGGCCCGACGTGTGCCTGTCCACTGACCGCAAGGTGGCCTGCGCGCCGCGGCCCGACGGCGGCCGCACGCTGGTCTTCTCCGAGCGCCCGCTGCGGCCCGGGGAGAGCCTCTTCGTGGAGGTGGGCCGTCCGGGGCTGCAGGCGCCCAGCGCGCTGGCCTTCGGCATCACGTCCTGCGACCCAGGCGGGCTCCGGCCCACCGAGCTGCCCGCCGACCCCGACTCGCTGCTCGACCGCAAGGAATACTGGGTGGTGGCGCGCGCCGGACCAGTGCCCAGCGGCGGCGACTCGCTCAGCTTCACGCTGCGGCCCGGTGGCGACGTGCACCTGGGCGTCAACGGGCGCCCACGAGGCCGCCTGATGTGCGTGGACACCACGCAGGCGCTCTGGGCCTTCTTCGCCGTGCGCGGGGGTGCCGCCGGCCAGCTGCGCCTCCTCGGTGAGTGCCCCGACCGCGCCGCTGCTGGAGCCGGGGCTGAAGCCCAGCCAGCGGTTCCCACCCGTGAGCGTGCCTCGGAACCACCCACCACCACCTAGAGTTTCCAGGAGGGTGGGTCCCGAATGAGGTCTTTCCCACAAGTGCTCTGGGGCACCCAGGGTGCACCCTTTGTCCACACCCCCTAAGTACCCGCCACTGTCAGGGCCTGGCAGGCTTTATGCTGTCGGTAAGTAGCCAGTGCAGTCTTTATTACTCCCGTTGCTGTGACGGGGGTGGGGGGTTTGTTATTTCTTCACGTGTGTAATGCATACGAAGTGTAGGAGAGAAAGGAGATACAGCTACACTTAACAGAGGAAATGAGAACAACCTCGTCCACGGAAAATGGCCCGGAGGCCTGAGCCACCCTATTCTGAGGCGACTCTCGCCTTCAGTCGTGCCCTGGGCAGACATGAGGCACCCGCCAGCTGCGGGCCAGGAGGGCCCAGTCGGAGGGCAGGGCACAGGCGCCACCCAGGGTGCTGTTCGCCCGGTGGAGGCGGCGGGGGGCGGGGGGGCAGGGGGCGGTGTCAGGGAAGGTTCCCAGAGGGTGCGGCTCCATTTTCATGGTCCAAGAAGGTTAGAGTCCGAATGACAACAGAGATGACGAGCATGTCACACGTAACCTCACCCAACTTGCCCTTCTGCGGAGGGCGTGAACCCATCTGCCGCCCCATCTACTGATAAGCAAACTGAAGGACAGAGGGATTTGACCCCTGCCCCAGCCCTGTGGTCGGTCAGCCATGGGGTCGCTGGGCCAGCCTAGGCCTGTGTTTCCTTCTGTGTGGAAGGGGAGCAATTACCTGCCTCACACCAGGAATGTGAGGCTGAAACAGCGAGGTGGGCACAGCGCTCTCAGCACTGGGTGCTCCCACCCACAGCGAGTTTAATAGGTAGTGACCATAACGATGGCGACTGTGGTTTCATCGAGATGGTGAAAGGGTGCCATTAGCAGTGGGTCCCTCTTTCCACCTGGAAGTTCACGGTCCCCTGTGCTGGCTTCGCTCGGGCAGGCCCTGCAGTGCCAGGCTAAGCTCCCAGCAGGATGAGCCCTTTCCCGAGAGCTGGAGGGGACGGTCACGGGCAGCGCCTGCTGGCCTTCCCGGGACTGCCTCTGAGACCAAGGGATGGGAGTTCCTATTGGCCCGGCCCGGACCGTGTGAGTGAAACAAACCCCAGTGCCGTGGCCCAGAGATAAAGGGGGATGGTGGCAGGGCAGGCAAGTGACAGGTGTCCAGCACGCCTGTACGAGTCCCTCAGATCCCGTGGGGTAGCTCTCGTCCTCCGTGAGACAGCCCGGGGGGCTCGGGTGCAGAGCGGCGCAGAGCCGGGGACCCACAGAGCAGCGCCCACCTGACGGGGTCTCCTTGGTCCCAGGCACCCTGCAGTCCGGCCCCGTGATCCCGTCGCCGTCGGGGTCCCTCAGCGGCTCCCAGGACGACAGTGACTCCGACATGGCCTTCAGCGTCAACCAGTCCTCCTCGGCCTCCGAGTCGTCCCTGGGTAAGGAAATGGAGACCCTGGAGTGGGGGCGGGGGCAGGGGCAGGGGCCGGGCTGTGGCCGCACCTCCCGCCCTGCGTTCGGCTGGAGGGAGGAGAAACACATGGCACCCCAAAGGGTGACCTTGGTGCTTGATGCTCGGGGGTAACGGGGTAGGAAAAAGGGCCAAAACCCAGAGGAAAACCCAGCCGTGGTGCCTCCCAATTGCCCCCCCCCCCACCCCACCATGGGCTCCGCCATTGAAGCCTCGCCTTCATGGGGCGGCCCCAGCCGAACCCACCCGTGAGCCCCGTGACTCAGGTCCGGCCCGGTGTTCCTCCCTGCAGTGACAGCCCCCAGCTCCCCGCTGAGCCCCCCGGTCTCCCCCGTGTTCCCCGCCCCGGAGCCGGCGGGCAGCAAGAACGGCGAGTGCACGGTGTGCTTCGACGGCGAGGTGGACACGGTCATCTACACGTGCGGACACATGTGCCTGTGCCACAGCTGCGGCCTGCGGCTCAGGCGGCAGGCGCGGGCCTGCTGCCCCATCTGCCGGCGGCCCATCAAGGACGTCATTAAGATCTACCGGCCGTAGCCGGGCCCGCGGACGGGCCTCGGCCGGAGCAAGGTCACCTTACTGCAGCCCCTCGGGGCCCGGCAACCACCACGGCCACCAGGGAGTCCAGGGGCAGCGGTCATCTCGTCTGTCACTCCCCGGTGTTGGGCAAGAGGCGTGACAGCCATGGAGACGGGGCCCTGGGGGTCTGCGGCCGGGCGAGGGTTGCTTGTGGCTCCAAAGTGCTTTGTCCCCAAAATGCCACCCCAAGCGCAAGCTCAGGAACTGCCTGGCAGACCACCCACCTCTCTGCTGACCTCTCGGCTGGGGAACAGTGTCCCCCGCGCAACGCTTTTTGCTGGGGGCGGGCTGAGTTGTGCGCGGTGCTGTCATGCGTGTCTGAGGAGGGGGAGGGGCAGGAGGGTGACCGAGGAGGGAGAAGGCATGTGTACGGGAAGGAGAGAGAGAGGGTGCGTCGGTGTTGACCCAGGGGTCCTGGCTCCGGGAGTTTGTGGGACACGAAGGGGTGTGCGGTCCGGAGGCTGTCCGTCCTTCCGTCCGTCCGCGGGCCTAGAGGTGGCTCCCTCTCTGCAGCTGTGACGTCAGCTGGTCTCGAACGGATGCAGCCTGCCCCCGCCCCCGGACGGAACGCCCTCGGATGGTATGGAAAAGGGACACTCAGATTTTCTCAGAGGAGGAAAGCATCACTCACTGTTTACAGCTCCAAAGCAGCAACTCCTTGGGGGTTAGGTGGGCGGAGAACATAAAAGAACAATTTGCTTCTTCGGTTTCTAACTGCGGCCCGGAGAGGCAGTTTGATGGGTGCTGCAGCCATCGGGGAGCTCCGGGCAGGGCCGCCCCCAGAAGCCTTTTCACCCCCCACCCCCCAGCAGCCTAATAATAAGCACACAGCATTTGACTCTGTCCCTACATGCTATGGGTCCGCACCGGCCCACCATGTCCAAGGAGAAGACGAGCAACAGGTTATCTTTTCCTGGGGGGCGAGGGGAGGGAAAGAAACCGAGAGGCAGGGTCTCACCTGGAGCTGGAGAGGCCACTGCAGGGCACAGCCAGCTCCCCACACCTCCTGTTGTAACCCCGGGCCTGCGGGCACCGCCAGGGCAGCTTGCGGGCACAGTAGGAGGGACCAGGGCTTTGCAACCGTCTTTGTTCTTAGCTTATCCTCACTTGCTGATTGCTAAGGTGTTCATTGGTCCTTGGGATGTTAACTAGTAACTGAGATACTAACTGAGAATCCTGGCTTTGGACCTGTCCCCCTACCCAGGGCTATTTGCTAGGCCCCTGGCCCTGCCCTTGCCGCCTCCTCCCTTCTGGCCCCCCGTTCTGGGCCGCACGTCTCTGTCCTGCCTTGGGCTGGGCCTTCGGACAAGTCCCTGGGGTCCCTCTGTTTCTCCGTCCCCAGTCTGACCAAGAGGAAGCCTGGCACCTGCCCACTCCGCAGGTCTTGGGAGGACCAGCACAATGTTCCGAGGGGCCTGAGACGCCTTGCAAAGAGCAGGTATTGTTTCTATTACAATTCCTCGCCTGCCGTTCATCTGCCGAGGGAGGCAGCGGAAGGAGAGCGTTCGGAGCTCAGGCCTTCCCGTTCGCTGGGTGTCCAGAGGCTCAGAGCCCCGCTGGGCCACGCCCCCGTCAGGCCCCGTGAGGCCGGTGCCCTGGTGACGATGCTGCAGCCTGCTTCTCTGCCCGGGAGCGGTCACAGTGTTCTGATCCCAACCGCAGAGATCCTGCTCTGTCCCCTGCACGAACCCCTGGCAGGTCCTTTTCCCCCAGGGAATTTGGGAAACACCCCCCCCCCATTGTAATTGTGCAGCAGAATCCTTGGGGGAGCTGCCAAGATAAGAGTTTGAGAATCCAGGCAGCGCTCGGGGCCCCGCTGAACCTGGTCACCTGGAGCCTCCCGCCACCCCCGTGTGCTGGCTGTGGGCGCAGGCCCCGTGTGGGAAGGCTTGTGGCCCCCAGCCCCCCCGAGACGGCAGTTCTCCAGGCGGCAGGCCCCCTGACCGGCCAGGGCCACAGTCCCGAGCTCCGGGGGTCTCGGCGGCCTGGAGAGCCAGCTCCCATAGTATCCTGCCACTTGCCCTTCCTGACCCCTCCCCGACGCGGGTTCCAGCCAGGGTCACGTACAGACACCACCCGGAAACCAGCGGCGGAGGGCCTGGGCCCAGGGTGGGCCCGGCCGCGCCCCTGGCAACCTGTCACCT